GTAAATAATTTATCTTGGGATCTTGGCCTCTGAGGATATATATATAAATCCTCAGCCTCCTCCTCCTTATACAGCAAACTAAATGCCGGGTATCTTGAAAAAAGGAAAACAAAACCCCTCCTTTCTTCCCCGACATTTCCATGGCCCAATCACAGCCTCGTGTCCCTCTCTCCTCCTCCTCTGCAGATGGGGAGGTGAGGTCCATATGCAAGCTTGTTCTGACATTGCTCCGTTCTCAAAAATTCGACGAAGCCGACTCTTTGATGGAGGATGCTCGCCTCCGATATCGCGATTTCTCTTCCATCCTCGCCTTGCTCCGTATCACTGGTGTAATCCAGTTATTCAAGTCTGAATTCTTGGAAGAACATCTCTGTGTTCCAGACCCACTATGCTGTGCAAAAATAGCAACCCAACTCTCCCCCTTCAACCTTGAGTGCTCTTTCTTTTATGTCAAGCTCCTTGTTTCATACTATCAAAGATACAAAGAGGCGATCATAGAGTGTGAGCGTTCTCTTGCTGTCATCAACCCAGTCTCAGACACTGCCGATTACTTGAGGGCGTCAAATTTTCAAGAAGTTGGCCATGTAAGCCCTGAGGAGGGCTGGATCGCCTACTACAAAGAACAGCTACGGTCATTCTTGATTACTGCTAGAGATGACCTAATCGATGAGAATTTACCAGGGCAATGTCAAGATCAGGAGCTCTATGATTCCTCATGCCCTGTCTCCAGACAAGTGATGGATACCTGTGAGAGAGCTCTGGCATTACTCAAATCGAAGAATTTCACCAAGGCTGATCGCTTGTTGCAGAAAGCAAACTACCGCCGTCACAATTCCTTTGCCTTCTTCCATCGTGTATGTGCAACAGCGCACTATTATGCCTTTGCCCATGCCCGAAGTAAGGATCTTGAAGCCAAGAAACAGCGGTTTCAAGAAGCCATTGCATCTGCTGAGAGAGCCACCCGGCTCTCTCCCTCAAACCTTGAGTATTCTCTATCCTATGTCAACCTTCTCATTTGTTGCACTGAAGGATTTCCAGAGGCTGTGAAGGAGTGTGAGCGGGCTCTTGCGGTTACTGACCCAACAGATTTTTTCTCTGAGCGCTTCTTGAAGGACGAAACTACTAAGGCTCGAATGGCCTTCTACCAGCATAGCCTCAGGTCCATCTTGAAGACGCATACTGTTGATCCTATTGCAGATATCAAGGAAAATATCCCCGTCCCTTCCTCTTCGTCCCTTCCTTCCACAAGCACAGATCCGCCCCCTCCCTCCGATGAGGAGAAGAACCATAGTGACCAGGCTCTTCCTCTCCCCGATCAAGATGAACAACATTTTCTTTCTCATGCCTCTTCTTCTGCAATTGCTTTCACAAGCACAAATCCTCTCCCTTCTACCGAGAAGGTGAAGGGTATCACTGATCTTGATGTTCAAATCCCCCATCACCCTTCTCATTCCCCCTCTTCTTCACTTGTTCCCATAAGCACAGATCCTCAACCTTGTTCAGATGAAGTGAAGAATCTCCGTCGGGCACTTCAACTCATTGAGGAACGTGACCCTGTCAAGGCCAAAAATGTCCTCAATGGCATCCTCCACAAGCACAAATTATCTGCAGTTTTCCACCGAGTACGCAGTTTAGTACTCTGCTGTTATGCCAGGAAGCTGATCAATGATCCTGAAGGCCAGTTATGCCAGTTCCAAGAGGCCCTCAACTCAGCACATCAAGCCACCATACTCTCCCCAAACAATCTTGAGTTCTCTGTCCACTACGTGTCAAATCTTGTTCTTCACCAGAAATATGAAGAGGCTGCAAAGGAGTGCGAGCGTGCTCTCGCAGTTACCAACCCCGCTGATTTCTTAATCGAGTGCGTCAGAGAGAGCAGCCAAGAAAGCCCTAACTTGAAAAGGATTTCCCTCCACCAAGATCATCTTCAATTTCATTTGCATGTGTTAAAGTGGCCCAATCTTTCTGCAAAATCGAAGAGCGGGCCTATTTCGAAATTATTTACTGTCCCTGCAGAATCCAGCAGAATGGAGAGATCTTCTTCGGGTGCAGGTTAAAAAATTAAAGAATAGGTTCGAAATTAACTACCCAGGGGAAGCTTTAAGTTTTGGCCATGAAAATCAAACTTGGAAGTACTGGCTCTGTCCTTGCTGCTCCAATCTAGGGTTTAAATATTTTGAATCAATGTGGCAGCATGTGCTGAAGGAGAATCTGCAAGAACCTTCTGAAGAATTGAAGTCATTATTCCCTAAGCCACTTGATCAAGATTGGGCTGACAATCTTATACAAGGCAGTTGGGAGCCTATTGAAATCCATGCCACGACAGCGAATGACAACCTACAACGGCCGCTGTCTACTGATACTGAGAGAAGAAATCATCTCCGAAGAATCAAATACAATTTTTGGATGCTTATCACTAATAATTGCTTGTCGGTGAGCCATATTGACAATGTATTGAAATACGCCATGGGAGAAATTCAAGTTCTTCCGTTTGCGCAAGAACTACAGAACGTCCAAACAGGCGATCAGTTGGTACGTATTATCCGATTATTGAATTCTTTGCAGCTCAAGGAAGTACTTGATTTCTTAGAGAGACTCATGAAATCTTGTAAGCTAGGCCCATATGCTGAGAGTCATGGCCCTTCTCATGATGCATTTCTTGTTAGTCTGGAGGATGATGTCAGAATTGGGGTCACTCCTGATGATAGTTTCTTGTATATTGACTTGGATATGAAGTCATTATCCAGCAGTGAAAATACATCCTCCCCTCATGATGAAACATGGAGTCCCCCTGATGTTAATTCGATAGTTTGTTGGTTATATGAAGATCAAGATCTTACGGAGAAGATCGAAGCTTCCACACAAAGACAGGATGAGGCTGATAAATATTTTAAGAAGTTACAGAATGAATATAAGGAACTGACTTTGAATTGCAGTCAAAAATGCAAACTCCTTGAATATCAGGATGCTCTAAAATGCTTAAAACATAAGTGCGAGAACGAATTTGTGGAAACGAGCGCTTCTGCAGAGAGTCAGATACAATGTAAAAAAGAGCTTCCTGAAAGAGCTGAAAGCGGAGATGATTCTGTGGTCAGTAATAGTTCTGATATCTCTACAGAAGAAGAAGCTTTCGAAGAGTCCAGAAACAGGGATGGTTCTGTAAATCAGCCTGACAACAATGATGAAAACAATTCGAGAACAAATTCCAAAAATAACTCCTGCATAAATTCAGCATTCAGGGAAATAGATGAGACATCAAATGAAAAGGTCTGGGCATTTGCTGTCATCCTTTTCACAAAAATTTCAGAACTTTTTGCACAGACATTTCAGTCTCATGACTAACTTTTTGCTTTGCAGCTCTGCATAGCCGATGCAAAGATCATGAAGAATATTGCTACCATCAGGCATTTGAAGCTCAATCTTGAAAGAGCTTGTGTTATCAATGATCGTGTATATCTTTTACCTCTCCTGAGAGTTTACATGAAGGTCTTCAACTCTGCTATTTCACTTTTTGTTTTAATTCTTCCTCGTTTCAGCTTGTTAAGTAATCCTCCTTTTGTTTCAAAATTTTCAGGAAGCCCTTGAGCTAAGACTAACAGAATCTGAACCACACGTTGAAGACTCTTTCACTGAACCCTTACACGATGATGAGGAAAATATGGATAAGAGAGAAGATAGCCAGAAACAGCTATGGGAAACCTCAAGGGGTAAAAAGAAAGGCAGTAGTTCCAAAAAGTCTAAGGGTAGAAAGTCTAGATAGCCTTGAATTTTGTTCAGCTTGTTTTACTGCAACTGTTAATACATCCAGATCGCTTTGAGCTGCATGGTGCTAGAATTTATAACAATCTCAGCTTTATGATGCTAAAATAGTGCTCAATGAGATACATGCGACCCTAATGGCAAACTTTGGATTTTATATAAGTGACATTAACAAAAAAAAAACTTGATAAGAGTTTAATAATTTAAGGTACTTAACTAGACGTTGTTTATTTGGAAGGTGCAAGGACTCTCCGTTTTAAAATTCAAGTTGGGATTGGCTATTGCTAAAATCGAAGGAAAACATTTGCATATATAGAGACAGATTTAGAAATGTTCTCAGTTAATTTCGTATTCCTTTTACAGATTTTAAGGAAAAGTTCCCCCAACCAGGGGCAAAGCCAGAGCTTGCTTGCCCTAGGTAGCTGCCCATGGCAAGAAACTCAGCCTCTCGCACGACCTCTCCCTCCTCCCCTCACTTCCCCTCCTCTCCCGCCACTTCACCTCCCTCTCCACAAATCCAACCTCCTCTCCCTCCTCTCCCTCCTCTTCTAGGACATCCATCTCAACAATCCTCAGTCCTCCTCCCTCTCCCACGCCTCCCTCCTCTCCCTCACGATATATTCGTAGACCATCTTTATTTTTCACCTAGGGCAAAAAATAATATTGGCTACACCACTGCCCCCAACTGTTCATTTCTCCAAAAACTAGAATGAAAAAAACACTATGGGGGAAAAGAATGTACATAAAGAATTTGACTCTATTCTACATTGTCTTGAGAGAAAAATGTGGCATCTTATATTTGATGGTCACTATTGCAAGAAACTTTCATAATACTATGCAATCTGTCAAGTGTCAACCACTGAAAACGTCCTATAAGTTATGCAGAGTACCGTGGAAAAACAAGAGATTTTGTATGCAATCTATCAAGTTTCAATCTTTCCCCATCAATTTCCAATAAGCTATTAAATTCGTAGTGGGGGGGGGGAAGCATTTTACGTTAGTTTTAACCTAATCTGTACCTGTGGCGATATGTATACAAGGGGGGAAATATTCAACCACCAAATTGAAGTCAGAGGCTTCAGTCTGCATCAGAACAAAATTTCCCATTAATATCATTCTTATTTTGAAGACTTGATCATCATTTATGTAACGACCGAGTTAAGAGTAAATACCTTGAGCCAGCGTCGAACATTTGGTGGGCAATGAACGGGTAATCTGAACGAATGATGATCCTCCTTCATTATTAGACACTAAAATTGAGAAATCAACAGAGAATTTAAGAGAATTAGAAACTTTGATTGTGGAATTTGAAAAAGTTGATGCTCTTGAACCAGCCCCCCCCCCCCATCCCCCCCGGCCCTGCCGCGATCTTTTAAGCAGCAGCGAAATTTCAACAGCGGAATTTAAGCTATCGCCTTTTTCTGAATTTACAATGCCACTCGTCGCTCGCAAATATCATGAGTTGGGAATTTACCATCCTTGAACAGGCTTCGTAAATCGCGTTCAGCCATACTCTCTCTCGTATTATGTATACGTATATGTATATATATGTATATGTATATGTATAGGGGCTGTTTGGTTTGTATTTTTTACCTTTGTAAAGCTGTCAAAACTAACAAAAGCTGTCAGTTTTGTCAGCGTTACTTGTAAAAACGCCCAAAAATGAGCGTTTTTGCAAGTAAAGCTGCTAAAACTGATAGCTTTTGTCAGTTTTGACAGCTTTACAAGGGCAAAAAATGCCAACCAAACAGCCCCTAAGCACTCTTCTCCTGGCTGCTCTCGTGATTTCAAATTATGTTATTATTTAAAGTAGATATTTCCATGTTTTATTTTGCTCCAAATACATAGAATTCTGCATTATGCCATAATTAAATTTTTTACGGGTAAATGATCCAAGATTTAAGCATGTGGATCTACATATAAGTGGAAGGCTACTTAGCAGATAGCCCCCTTTTTGTAAGATCATCGCATATATCACCCCCGTAACTTTGAAAATATCAATAATTCCACCGTAAGTTTAGGGTTTAAAAAGCAATGCTTTTTTTATACGATGAATTTTGGTTTTATCCATCCGCTATTGGTATCTTTTTAAACTCGATTACATTATGACTGATCTATGGACAAGTGAGAGTGATTTCGCCTTCAAGTTTTTTCTAACCTAGAGATGAGATGGCTAAATTGTTGCCTAATCTCCTATCAACCCCACTGAATATTGTTAATTAATTATTTCCACAATGCATAGTTCGTATTTTTTTAAAACTTTATAATTTCTCATAATCTTTCTAATTCAATGCAGACTATATCGCAGTATTATCGTATTAAGATCCGTGGGAACATGACTAGCAGAGGATTTCAACTTAAGAAAAATCTCATCATAAAATCTCACAGTGACATCTAGCCATCTAGGGTGTGTTTGGCGAACATTCTAAAATAGGTTTAGAGCGGTCCTGATCCTATTTTTAACTAAATTAGTTTTGTTTTGAATCATCAGGGAGGTGGTCCAAAATAAAACTAGTTTTAAAGGGCACCTTGTTGGCTCAGTTTTACCTAAACATAAATTTAGGCTAGGTCCACCCCTAGTCTCATTTCGAAAACTTACCAAACACACTCTAAGACCCATCGTTTGAACTTTATACTAAATGATGTTGGATTTGGGTGTACTTGTAAATCTATTAATTATTGACAAGCATAGGACCATTGAAATATAATACGCATCTTATCAGAACTATCCCTATGTAAACGACAGTCCTTAGTCACTCAATAGAGAGGAAAAATAACCTTACTGTTAGTTTGGGTGTAGACCAAACTCACCTCCGCCGGCGAGGAGCTCCGACGAGCTCAAGGATGACGCAGGCGAGCGTGGCGAAGTCGACGACGAACGCGACCCTCGAAATTGGCGAACGCGACCTCGGCGTTTCTTGGCGGTTCGACCCTAGCTTCTGGTGCTCCGACGCTCGCGTTTGGACGACACCGACCATCGCGTTTGGGTGTCGACCATCGCGTCCGCGGGGTTTTAGTTGTGGGGTATTTATTCTCAAGTGAGAATTGAAAGGGTTCATACCCTTTAATTATTAACACTGTAGCTACAGTGTTTAATTGAAAGATCTTATTTTTGATCTGCTCTTATAATTGTAATTTCTTGTTTGATTAATAAGAAATTATCTGTGTGGCTCCCGAGGACGTAGGCAGTTGCCGAACCTCGTTAAATCTTGGTGTATTTTTTCTATACTGCGTTTCTGTTGCATTAGGGGTTTAGGCGTTTAAATTCCCAACAACTGGTATCAGAGCGTGAAACGATCTAGAGGAAGTCAGATTCAAGTGGGAGCCATGGCCGCAGATGAGGGAAAGGTGAGATTAGAGAAGTTTGATGGATCAGATTTCGGATTCTGGAAAATGCAGATAGAGGATTATCTGTATCAGAAAAATCTGTATCAACCTCTCTCGGGGAAGAAGCCGGAGGGTATGAAGGAAGAAGATTGGAATCTTCTGGACAGAAAAGCCCTCGGGGTTATTCGTTTGACGTTAACCCGCAATGTTGCTTTTAACATTGCAAAGGAGAAGACCACGGCAGATCTTATGGCAGCACTCTCAAATATGTATGAGAAGCCATCAGCCTCAAATAAAGTCCATTTGATGAGACGGTTGTTTAATCTGCAAATGGCGGAAGGTGCATCGGTAGCACATCATCTCAATGAACTCAATACAGTCACGACCCAATTGAGTTCAGTTGATATTGAGTTTGATGAGGAAGTTCGAGCGTTGATCCTTTTGTCTTCCCTACCAGAGAGTTGGAACGCTACAGTCACGGCAGTGAGTAGCTCGTCGGGAAAGACAAAGTTAAAGTTCGACGACGTTCTGTTAGACCCTAGAGGGGGGTGATTAGGGTCTTATGCTAATCTAATCCGATTAAATGCCAATTAAAACTAATTAATAAGTTATCCTAGCAAGTATAAAATACAACAAGATATGTAAGCTAGGATAAGCAATATGAACAAATGAATATATCCTATCAATGAGATATTACAAATATATGAGCAAGGATATATGAACTAACACAAGGGTAAAATAAACAATCTACACAAGTGATAGGGTAATATGATGAGCAATACACAAAGGCGATATAAGATATGAAAACAAGAATAAGAACGCCAATGCAATCACAAACAAAACGATATGTTTACGAGGTTCGGTCTCCACGACCTACGTCCCCGCTCCTCACCTCGAGGAGATCTCCACTATCACAACCGGGTTTTCTACGTTCACCCGAACAACGTTTACACCTCACAATACAATCACTATGTAATCACACCTCACACACTAAGTGTTGGTCCTAGCCCGTGTCCTCCTCCTCAAGTGCTCGGTTACAACCTCTCCCTAGGCACGTCAACCGACGCCACTCCTCTTGGATTCGACCCCGTCTCTCACCACACACTTCTCTCGGTGTACAAGTGTATTACAAGTGAATCTTCACAATTAAGCACAAGATAAATCAATTGATTGTTCTCTAAACAAGGTGAGAACTCAATTAAGCACAACTCTTAGTCACTAATCTTACAACCCAAAATTATACTATGAATGTAAATACAATAAGCTCAATAGGTTGTGTGTGAACAAATCACCACCCAACTATACTATGTATGTAAATACTAAAAGCTCAATGTGGGTGTGTGTAACAATGAGTAAAATCAAAATCAAACTAAACTCAAATATAAAATCTAGCTTAAGAACAATGATAATCAAACAAGTATATAAATGTAAAGCTAGAGTTTGAGTTTAGAAAACTTCTCAATTTGATAACAAGAGATGGAGGGATGATAGTTGGAAGCTCAAACTTCAATAGATAATCTCCTCAAGCTCTTGTGGAATTTGATTCACAAAACCGAAATACTCAAATGCTTAAAAGCTTATAAACACACTTAAACCAAACATAAACCCTTGATTAAAACTTTATTAAACTTGTTTTTAAACTCTCTTTGTTAGTTTGAAAAGACATCAGCAATGGGGTATATATACCCAGAAGGCAATGGGGTATTTATACCCTCTCACAACTCAGCCAAAAAACCAGAGCAAAAGACAAAACAACCCCAAGGCAACGGTCAAAAAACTAGCC